TGCTTCTTCTGGGCTCAGGAGAAGACAGGCTTAAGATACTGAAGGATCTTGACAGACTTGAACATCTAACAAAATGAAATTCAGTGGTGAAAAGATAAGGTTTTACATTTAAGCAAGAAAAACCAAATGCAAGGTGATACCTTGCTCAATAGTAGTAACTGTGAGAGGGATCTCGGAGTCCTAGTGGACAATCATTTAAATAGGAGCCAGCCGTGTGCTGCAGCTGCCAAAAAAGCCAACACAGTGCTAGGCTGCATTAACAGAGGGACAGAATCAAGATCACATGAAGTGTTAATACCACTTTACAATGCCTTGATAAGACCACACCTGGAATACTGCATCCAGTTTCGGTCACCATGATGTAAAAAAGATGTTGAGATTCTAGAAAGAGTACAGAGAAGAGCAACAAAGATGATTAAGGAACTGGAGGCTAAAACATATAAGGAACGGTTGCTGGAATTGGGGATGTCTAGTTTAATGAAGAGAAGGACGAGGGGGGACATGATAGCAGTGTTCCAATATCTCAAGGCCTGCCACAAAGAAATCTGAAGGCTATTCCGCAAAGAATCTGAAGGCAGGACAAGAAGCAACGTATGGAAACTAACCAAAGAGAGAAGCAACCTAGAATTAAGGAGAAATTTCCTGACAGTGAGAACAATTAATCAGTGGAACAACCTGCCTACAAAAGCTGTGAATGTTCCAACACTGGAAGTTTTTAAGAAGAGACGGGACACCCATTTGTCTGAAATGGTATAGCGTTTCCTGCCTGAGCAGGGGGTTGGACTAGAAATCAGGGATAGTCAACCTTGGTTCTTTTATGACTCGTGGACTTCAACTCCCAGAATTCCTGAGCCAGCACAGCTGGCTCAGGAATTCTGGGAGTTGAAGTCCACGAGTCATAAAAGAGCCAAGGTTGACTACCCCTGGACTAGATGATCTCCAAGATCCCTTTCAACATCATCATCATTATTGTTATTGTTATTATTCCTTTTTTTTTTTTAACAATGTGAAGATAGAAAAAAAAATAGGTTAAAGGGAAAGATTCTGGTTCTTATGATGCTGTGCTATTTTCTAGCTGATGTTCATTTTCTCTAGTTGTCTTCTTACTTTCATAAATATTAGTGAGTGTTTCTTATTGCTATTTCCAGGCTATTATCATCATCACTCTCATTATAATTTCCCCATCCCAAGTGATAAATTTGGCTTTAGATCTGTTTTTGACACCCCTTGGTTTTAGCAGACATTCCTGCAGGGATTGAGAGAGATGTGACAGAGCATACCATCTTATCTGTGTATTATTTATTTGGGTAGGTTTTTTTTAACAGTTTGGGTTTATTATTCTGGATCCTTGGTCACAGCTTGTTCTGTCATTCAGTAGGATAAGATTCTGCTTGCAATGATAATAATAATAAATGCATTCTGAACCAGCAACAGGAATATACTGTAGTATATTCGCAGCAGTAAATGCCACTGCCCAAATGTTCAGATGCTGGGAGAGCTGGCGCATGACTGGTGAACATGGGGATGATGGATAGTTATCTTGGATTTGAAAACAGGAGGATGAAGGCAAGGATGGAAATTTATCACAAACTGTGATGTTAGAGGCTGATGATCTAATTAGAAGAGGAGCAGGTTTCTTTTGCTATGTATTGAGGGAAGAGGGGTGTGCAGCAGGTACACAATTTAAAATCTCTTCTGTATGAGGTTTAGATTTGTGCAATCTTGTTCTTTCTCTCCTCACTCTCTCTTTGGGATGACGGGTGGGGATGGGAAGGAATAGGGAAATACAGGTACAGTAGTTATTGAGTTACAATAACTAACAATAGCTTTGTTTAGTGACTTACAACAGCACAGAAAAAATGACATTTTTCATACTTACAACCATTGCAGCATCCCTATAGTCACATGATCAAAATTCAGACACTTGGCAACTGACTCGTATTTATGACGGTTGCAGTGTCCCGGGGTCACGTGATCCCCTTTTGCAAACTTCTGACGAGCAAAGTCAATGGGGAAACCAGATTCACTTAACAGTTGTGCTACTAACTTCACAATGCAGTGATTCACTTAACAACTTTGATAGGAAAGGCCATAAAATGGGGCAAATTTCACTTAATAACGGTCTTGTTCAGTAGCAGAAATTTCCGGGGTCAGTTGTGATCATAAGTTGAGGACTACCTGTAATCCTGCAGCTTGAACGCTCATGCAGACTTTTTCGTGGAAAGTTGGAAAGCTCCAATTAGCAAAAGGCTAATGTATTCTGAAGCGTCCAGCATTGTGCTATTGACATTATGACTTTCAATGCCTAAGGCACAACAGCTGGCTGGATGACTTGGGGCCAATCACTAGGAAACCGTAGGTTCTAGTGCCACTTTAGGCACGAAAGCCAGCTGGCTGACAGTGGGCCAGTCCTCTCTCTCAGCCCAACCCATCTCATAGGGTTATTGTGGGGATTACTGTGTAGGAGGAGGAAGATTATTATTATTATTATTATTTATTGAATTTATATACCGCCCTATCTCCCTTACGGGACTCAGGGCGGTGAACAGGCGATAATAAAAACCACAATAAATATACACAAATTTCTGTCTAAAATCAAATTAAATAACAGGCCTGCTCTAAAAGATGTTCACCACCTTGAGTTATTTATAAAAATAATAAAGACAGGATACAAACAAACAACAAACAAATAAAATAGTATGCTAGGGTTAGAAGGGACCACAAGAAGGACCACACAGGAGTCATCCAGTTCAGTCTCCACTCGGTGCTGGGCTCCATCTGGTAGCCATTTTGTGACAGAGACGTCAGCGTGTTCCATTCCTAATTTCAAATGTCTCTGTCAGGGTTCCCAAAGATTTGGGAGCCTTGGTCTGTTGGACATCAGCCAGTGAGGGCATGAAGCAGGAAAGAAAAGGTCCTCTTCCCCAGCTTCTCTGCAGCGCTTGCTTCAGAAAAGGGTTCAAGGTTGAAACTGAGGCAATTGGGAATGGTAGTTTTACAACTGGGTGTGATTCTCTTGGGGTTAGAGCAGAGGTGGGGAACTATGGCCCCTTTGTGACTTGTGGACTCAAACTCCCAGAACTCCTGAGACAGCAAGTCCACAAGCCTTAAAAGGGCCATTGTTCCCCACCTCTGGGATGGAGGGAAGGCCCTTTTTAGCCTCAATATATTCCTGTTGGGGATGAGAGAAATGTCACTGCAAGATTTCTATTTATGGGGGGGGAATTGCCATAATAATAATAATAATAATAATAATAACAACAACAACAACAACAATTGTCGATAAGAAAGACAAAAAAGTCTGGATAGTGGACGTGGCAGTGCCTGGAGACAGCAGAATAGACGAGAAAGAACTGGAGAAGATAACAAAATACAAAGACCTACAAATAGAAATAGAAAGACTGTGGCAAAGGCAAGCAAGGGTAGGACCAATAGTAATAGGCGCCTTGGGTGCAATCCCAAAACAACTGGAGCACCACTTGAACACCATCATCGGCATTGACAAATTCACCATTAGTCAATTGCAAAAGGTGGCCTTACTAGGAACTGCTTCCATCCTGCGACGATATCTGTAATACCATCAAACATCCACATCTGCCTATCCCAGGTCCTGGGTAAGGACTCGATAGGTAGACAAAATGCCAAATCCAGTCTGAACATCTGGCTGACTGTGCAATGAGCCATAATAATAATAATAATAATAATAATAATAATAATAATAATAATAATAATAATAATAATAATAATAATAATAATAATAATAAAGTTGGAAGGGACCTTGGAGGTCATCGAGTCCAACCCCCTGCTCAGGCAGGAAACCCTATACCTTGATCTAGGCCCTTCCCTTCCTCTGATAGCATATTTTTCTTAGGACAATTTTCACCTCCAAATTACACAATTTTCCTTTTTCATGGAGTAAGAATCTCACTTCCAAGAACTGCCTTGAGTAGCGATGCCTGAATGCCTGTGAAAGAAAGAAAAAAATCACACACACCAGGATATTTTTGCTTTGTTTTGTTTGAAGAGGTACAACATGGTCCTGGATGTCATTGATGCAAGTAGCTGGCATGCATTAAAGCCGGTTATCAAACAGAGACTTCAAGTTTATATATTTCCATTGTTCTGTTTTCTTTCAGGCGTTAGCTCGAGGCATTGATTCATTGTCACTTAGTTCATTTGAAATGTCACCTGTGGCCATGAAGAACTTCAAAGAACAAAGGAATCAAAGAAGGAAAAAGAAGTCCTCAGGGGCAGATGATGAGGCAGAAGATCAAGAGCCTGATTCAGACGAGGGCCAACGAAGGGCGGTTAGTGTTTGTACTAAAATGTGTTAATCAAAGGAATTTCGTAACTGTTTTGTGAAGAACTTAGCATATTTCTTTGCAGGCATTACCTAGATCAGTGATGGCGAACCTTTTAGAGACCGAGTGCCCAAACTACAACCCCAAACCCACTTATGTATCGTTGGGTGCCTGGTGGGCGTTGCCCATTGGGTGGGTGTGGTCCATTGTGTGGGCGTGGCTGCGGTGGTAATGGCAGACTGGATGGGACTAAAAAGTTCAATCAATTCCAACTTTGTGAGATCTTTTTTTTTCCCCGCGAGAAGTTGAAATTGACTGATTGAACCTTTTTTTTTTTTGCACACGGTGGCGGAGGCCTAAAGCGAAAAGGTTTTATAAAACCCAGCTGAAGGCCTAGGACTGGGGCGACGGCGCGCGTGCCCACAGAGAGGGCTCTGAGTGCCGCCTCTGGCACCCGTGCCATAGGTTCGCCACCACTGACCTATACAATGTTTTGGGATGTACATAGGAGGATGGACACTGGGTTTGTTGACCAGACATTTGCCAGTTTGAGACTCAAGTATTGCATGATGGGATGAGCTCATGTGCATGACCCAGCTCCTGTCAACCTAGCAGTTCAAAAGCATGCAAATGCAAGTAGATAAATAGGTACCACTTTGGTGGGAAGGTAACAGTATTCCATGCATCTTAGCGCATAATCCTGCTGACCACATGACCACAGAAACATCTTCAAATAATGCTGACTTCCTCGTCTAAGAAACAGAAATGAGCACCATCCCCTAGAATGTTGTACACTGTTGATGTACAACCTGCATAGTTACCAGTTTGTTTCTGGATCCACTTCAATTTGTTGGTTATTAACTTTATATGGGATGAGTCCAGGGTGTCTGAGGAGTTGTCTCACCATAGTGGGATTGGCCTGCCACAATCGCTCCAGCAGAAGGGGTCTGCTGTGCATCCCATTTGTTAAGGAATTCTGAGAGACTTTTCTGCTGTGGCCCCGAACATTTGGAATACTCTATCACCACAGGAGTGATAGGTTCTCCAATTCTTTTGTCCTTCTGGAAGGATATCAAAATTTGGTTTTGCCAGTTGGCTTGGGGCCTCAAAGCATTGGCAAGATAAGAAGATCTTATCCTTGTACCGTCTGTCTTTTGGTTCTTTTTTGTATAGTTTTTAAAATTTTGATTGTTTTGTTTATTGATCATGATTGTTACTGATTGTAAGCCACCCAGTGTTGCCTTTTTGGTGAGATGGGCAGCATATAGCAATAGCAATAGTATTTAGACTTATACACTACCCCATAGTGCTTTATAGCACTCTCTGGGCATTTACAACATAGAAGCATTATTTGCATATGGCACCCAACAATCTGGGTCTTCCTTTTACTGACCTCAGAAGGATGGAAGGTTAAGTCAACCTTGAACCCTGTCAGGATTGAACTCCAGGCTGTGGGCAGAGTTGGTCCCAGTTGGTCCCAGCTTTCTTCTTGGATTAAGACACAACTAACCCCTTTTCCACTGCAATGTTTTCGTTGGGACCTCTTCTTTTCCTAGAAGGGCAAACCTAACAACCTCTGAAAATCAATGCATAATAAAATAAATACCTGATCCTTAATTATTAAATAATCTTAGCAGTATTTGGCAAGTTGCATGCGAAGTATAGATGTTGAAGTGATAAATGACTCAAGATAACAACACCAATCTGAGTGACATTCAAATGAATTTTTATTTCTTTTTTATTCTTTTTGTGGGTTTTTTTGAGATATTTTTTTCTTGTTATTTAATTGAATTGATCTTACAGTCTTACTAATTGCGGGATTTTTCATGCGGAAATGATTGAATGAGTTGGTCTGTTTTGAATGGATTTTGGCATAGAAAATAATAAAAATAATAAAAAAAATATGCCAGGCTAAATGTGAAATGAAGCAACATCTTTCTTGATGTGTATTACTTCAGCAGATGAGTTGTCTTTTCATTTTGCGTGTATGCATTTGTCATCCACTTACACACAAGCATCAAAGTGCTTCAAACATTTTTGAGAAGGCTGGGTCAAAATCTGAGCAAAACCTGTTTTAATTGTCAGGAGAAGATTAATCGATTTGATTATTGTTTTATGGAAATGACTTTTCTCTGATTGACAACTGAAAATTTCTCTTTCGGTGTCCCTGTTCTATTCTGTTTTTATTTCTACTCTCATCATTGCTTTAGATCATGGCAAAATTTACTTTGCTGTTATGGCTATGAGAATATTTTAAATAGGACGTTTCTGTAAATGTGGAAAAAAATACTGCTGGTGGCATCTATGCATCTACTCATTTATATTTATATTGCCTTTCTCTTTGTGTGTGTACCGGCCTATGTTACAGAAGTTTTCATTATTCATCAGTTGTTAATTTGTTCCAGATATTACTTTGATTGTGAAAGATCCCATGGCTTTGTATGCACAGTTTATTGGTTAATATTTCTTGATTTGGAAAAATTAGGAATAACCTAATGCCATGGGTCTAAGAGGGCTTGTATCAGCTACAAACAACCAGGTGTGCAAGCAACCAGAGCTGCTTGTAAATAGTCTAATAGTCTAACTCAGTAATTTTCTTGCAAGAATCTCCCCAAACCACTTGCGTTCCCCTGGGAATAACCAGACAAGCTTCATGGAGCTTGAAGGAGGTCAAGTTTAGGCCATTTGCAACTGTGCAGTGATTCCAAGCTATGTTCTCTCTTGACGACCCCTTTCAGCCTAGCTGACAGTTTCCCAATGTCTTATCTCATGAAGAATGTAATTTATTAAGGAATTGATCTTCTCGAATCCATCTTGATATTGGCATTACTAAAGGAGAATTGGGCTGGACTTTGGCTTCAAAATATTTTCTAAGGGCTTGGGGCAGCAATGGGAAATAATAAAATGAACTTGCGGCTGGAAGCCAAGTAGGTGCAATCTAGCCCAAGAGAATGAGCAGGTGGTCTTCCAGGTGCCAATGTAGTGACAGGCAAATTGTGCAGAGCAGAGGAAGTCCCACCCCATCTGTCTCTGATCATTCTCCCAAAACAATGTCTCATAAATGTACATAGAGAGATTTGCTGTTTGATGGAACTTGACACCTTCTTAGCATCCAATAAATGCATTATTAAATTGATTCCTTTCTATTCCTCTCCCTCCCTTCTCCTTCCCTCTCACTGGCCTTTTCCACTTTCTCTGAATCCTTCAAGACTCTCCTGGGTTTTACTTCAGGCTCTTTGGAAAATTCAGTGAGACGTAAGACCAGCCATGGAAGTGTTTTCAGTTTCCGTCTACGCAGCAGGGAAATGGGTTCAGAGGCAGAGTTTGCTGATGATGATATCAGCACGGTCGGAGACAGTGAAATCCAACATGGCTCACTGCTAATTCTGAGGAACGGGAGACGGCTGAGTGCACAGAGTCAAGGGATTTATAGCTCTCCAATCTACACATACAACAGCAAAAGGAACAGTTCGGTGGATTGCAACGGAGTGGTGTCTCTGATTGGCGGTGGAGAAAGCTTGGATCCAACCACTCCAACCGATGTGTTGCTGCCACCAGTCATTGCAGATAAATATGGAACAGCTGACACGGTGGGTCTACTTTTATTCTTGCCTTGTCCTTTGGATTTCCTTTGTCAGCTGCCAAGCTCACATAGCCCACCAACGAACCATATACTGTGACTTACAGAAGCTTGACAGACAGACAGACCAACAAGAGAAGACATGTAGTAAAAATAGAATACTTACAGAGCTTTGGTGGAGATATTTATATATAGCCCATGGCTCGTGGGCTGAGCTAGGCTTGATAGATCATGAGTTTATTGAAGAGATACTTCTGGTAGTTACTGGGGATCGGGATTAAGAATTCTATCCATTTTCTCTCAAGATGTTACATGCAGATGTCAGGTCCTGAGGTTGCAATCTAGATTCTTAATCATGATTAAGATTTGGGTTAAGATGATGATTCAGAGGTCGGCAACTGCTAAAAGTGCTTATCTCTTGTCATCCTTAGAAATAAACATAAAAAGGTGTTGCATTCATTTGTTTTCCAGTAAAGGTAGTCCTCGACTTACAACAGTTCATTTAGTGATCATTCAGAGTTACAAAAGCATTGAAACAAAAAAGACTGGTTTTGACTGGTTTTCACACTTAGGACAATTGCAGCATCCCCATAGTTATATGGTCAAAATTCAGGCACTTGGTAACTGGCAAATGTGTTTATGACACTTGCACTATCGTGAGGTCATGTGATCACCATTGGTAACCTTCCCAGCTGGCTTCTGCCACGCAAAGTCAATTGGGGAAGCCAGATTTGCTTAACAACCACATGATTCACTTAACAACTGCAATGATTGGCTTAAGAGCAGTGACAAAATAGGTCATAAAATGGGGTGAAATAACTGTCTTGCTTAGCAGTAGAAATGTTGGGCTCAGTTGTGGTCATAAATTGAGGTCTACCTGTACTTTTTAATAGTCTTTCTTTTATGTTCAGTAGTTGTTGTTGCCACTGGGTTGGCTGTCTCACCTTTAGTAAATGTTGCTTCGATTTAACTCTTCTGCAGACTGAAGAAAGACAGTGTAGCCTACGGGTGTTGGATTGACCCAAGTTTTAGTCCACCCTCAAGGCCAGCGCCTCAGAGGGTGACGTGACAGTGTGTCAGCCCAACATACCTTTCTGGGTAACAATAAAGGAGAATATCTGTAGCTCAGGGTTGACATGAGGGGTCCTTGGTGTCCTCTGAGCTTCCTTGTTTCCTTGCAGATGTTTCATCAAACTAGTAACATCATCAGTGATTGTAGGAAGTGGGGTTTCTGATCAAGGAGAGAATTAAGGAGAAACTTCCTGACATTGAGGACAATCGACCAGTGGAACAGCTTACCCCCAGAAATTATGGGTGCTCCATCACTAGAGATTTTTAAGAAGAGACTAGACAATCACCTGTCTCAGATGGTATAGGTTCTCCTGCTTGATCAGGGGGCTGGACTAGAAGACCTCCAACGTCCCTTCCAGCTCTATTCTATTCATTCTGGGTTCTTATGGGGGGGGGGAAATAGGAGGAAGGAGACTTGAGTTCCTGAACCAAAGATGGGATATAAATATAAATCTAAATACATAAGTAATATGTTCAGAACTCCAGGGCTTGATTCCATGTTTCACTGATCTTGGCTGCCTAAAGTGTTCTCTGGCCTTGATTTGTGGATGTTGTTTACATTTCAACTATCCCTGCTTATAATTCAGTGTGGATTTGCTAGTGCAGCAGAATTAAATATTCCTCAGGGATGAAGGCAGAAATGTTGATTCATAGCGATATTATTATGAAGGGAGAACCCATGAACAGGCACAATAGTGGAGTGAAAAAGGGAATATGAAATTGTGACATTTGTTAACATTACAACTGGCTAACTATCTTCATGTTCTTGTGATTCTATTCTGTTTAATCCTATGGAAATACTCTCACTTAATGTACAGATGTGCATTCTAATACAACACAAACCTATTTTATATATTATTTTATCACGGAATAATCCACAAAAGAGGAAATTACTGATAAAGGATTACAGAGAGATAACCTGGAGGGGATGTGTAATTATTTATTTATTTATTTATTTAATTTAATTTATATCCCGCCCTTCTCTCAACGGGACTCAGGGCGGCTCACAACATATTTAAAACAAAGGCATATATACAATCCCCCCCTGTAAAACCGAATTAAACCAAATTTTAAAGTTGTGTTATTTCGAATTCCTTAAAATGAACCCAGTATAAAATCCTCCCTAGGCCAGGTCCGCTTGCTGAAAAAGCCATGTCTTGAGGGCGCGACGGAAGGTAAGGAGA